TGTTACACCAACTCCAATATCCTTCAATCTTCTTTCTTAAGATGAGGTTAAGGGTCCAGCGCTGTGGCATAGCGGGTAAAGCCACCGCCTTCAGTGCCGGCATCACATATGGGCGCTGGTTTGAGTCCTGGCTGCTCTACTTTCAATTCAGCTCTTTGCTACGGCCTGAGAAAGCATTAGAAGATGGCCCAAGTCCTTGGGCCCCCGCACCCATGTGGGAGATCTGGAGGAAGCCCTTGGCTCCTGGCTTCGGATCAGCACAGCCCCAGCCATTGTGGTCAATTGGGGAGTGAACGAGCAGATGAAAGACCTCTCTCTCTCTTTTTTTCTCTTTCTGCCTTTCCTCTGTGTAACTCTGACTTTGAAATAAAGAAATAATTCCTTAAAAAAAAAAGATGGGGTTAAGAACAATGTTTTTAAGCTAGTCTCCAAGGCCACCTGTGTTTCAACCCATGTTGACCTTACTGACCCCATCTGGCTCCTCTTTGCAGGCCAACCTCATTGTAAGTTTTTAGTTTCTGTAATGATCAAGCCTCTCTGATAATATAGGCCTTCAGTGGATAGCAACTTGTTAGAAATGAAGATTCTTGAGTTCCATTCCTTATTGAAATGGAATCTGCATTACACAAGATGGACAGAAAATTTATAGACAGTAGAGTCTGTTCATAAAACACAAATCCAGTCCACTTCCCCAAAAGGTCCTTTGTATTTGTTTTGACTCTTTTCTTTCTTGTGACCTTGGCCTAATAAAATTGTTCATCTGGGAGCCTGAAGAGCGCATGAAGATGAGAACTTTACTTGAGATTGGTCCTAAAGGGAACCTGCACCTTTGGTCTTTTTTTAAAGAGTTATTTATTTATTTGAAAGGCAGAGTCACAGAGACAGAATGCCCTCAAGAATTACAGCGGAACTACACAGGAGCCAGGAACTCCATCCAGCTCTCCTACCTGGGTGGCAGGAACTCAAGCTCTTGAGGCATCACCCACTGCTTCCCAGGTGCATTAATAGAGAGCTGGATAGGAAGTAGAGTTTTCTGGACTTGAACCGGCACTCAACATAGGATGTCAGCATCACAAGTAGTGACATAACCTGTTGAACCACAATGCTTGTCCCATTTTTGTTCTTCTGAAAATTATATTTTAACTAGCTCAAATACTTAGAGCATCAGATTTTATATATAAATTGAAGTTTGCATAGAACCATCAAAAGTGTCACCTGTAATGGAAAATAATGACATCAAGTGTAATTTCAATGGTTAAGTCTAGAATTATCTGCAGTGATTTGATATTTATGATTCCAAAGTCTATAATACCCCATGGGATGATCTGAATTTCTCGTACACATCCAAATAAACAATGCCCAGTTGAAGATCTTCACTTAGTCCTATGGGGAATCCTTAGGCACTCTTTGGGGAATTTCATATATCCACACCTTCCTTTCCTGGAAAAAACACAGAGATGTACAATTTGTTGATGCTTGTGTTGAAAGCAAATTAATATAAATGACATTTTCCTGAGCATAGAAAAGGAAGCCTCCAAAATTAACTGTGTGCAATGAATTGCTACTTGTCTTATTGACATTCCTGTGCTGGTATATGATTTTCCTGCTTTAGAAAGCCTATTACTTTTAAAGTATCACCATAATTTCTTAGAAGATATTGGTAAGAGAAATTATTTCTATAATATTCATTATTCTTTATTAAAAGAAGTTAAAATTATTGTTCAGTTTACCATATTTTAGGTTAGGTTGATAATATGCCAGGAATGAGAAATAAAGAGTTAATAATCTTTTACATTTTTATATTAATGACTTAAATCTGGATAACAAAATCTCATTAGGATGAATTATTTCCTGTAACACTGATTTATTATCTTGTTAACCATAATGACTCTCCATATCCCAATGAACTAGAATGCTAAATGCTTTAAAATGGAGTTTAAAGGTTCAATTTATAATACTACTATATAAGAATTATTTCTGATGAATCTGATATAAGATCAGTTTTACATAATCACATTTTCTCATTAAAACTTATATGGTCTATCAAATAAATATTAACTCCTTGGAGGTGAGTATTGTGGCATAGCATTTCTCTGCTAGGGATGTCTGCTTCACATATCGAAGTGCCTAGTTTGGGCCCTGGCTACTACGCTTCTGATCCAGCTTTTTGCTGGTGCACATCCTGGGGAATGGAGGATGATGGACTTTGCGTGCTTGGGCCCTGCCCACCATGTGGGAGGCCCAGAATGAGGGCTATTATGGTTGTCTGGGGAGTCAACCAGCAGATGTCTGGAGGATCTTTCTCTCTGTGACTCTCTTTCTCTCTCCCCTTCTCTGTTTCTGACTTTTCCTGTCACTCTGCTTTTTAAAAATTTAAAAATATATTAACTCCTTTATATGCTCCCTACATCTGATAATAAATTCTTTGTATTATATATATTTTTAATATATATTGCAAAAACACATTGCATATATATGACCCATAAATATATATGCATTTAAATTTTATGTAAGTACATACATTTCATTTATAATACCTATAGTAATATTAATTATGTACATATGCATGCGTGTGTATTTTGGAAATATGTAGAAAATGCCCTTCCCTTAACCTGTCCAACATTTATGATTTAAAAAAATACTCATACACAAATCAAACTTTCAATTATTTTGTGATTTTGAATTTTATGAAAGGACGCTCATTCCATATAAAAGCCATGTGGCATTATTGACATTTGTTGTTTGTATTAGAATCCATCCAGTCTTTGACTCATTTTATTCTGCTAAAAATGGAGAAAAACAAAACCTAGTGGAGAAGAGAAAATGCTCTCAGAAAAAAAAAGCAGCCAGAGATCTAGAGAATTAAGTTATAATTGAGAGGAAACAAAGATGGAATCACTGTGTTATTCTGTCTACTTTTCTTTTCCCTCTTTTTTTCATCTACCCAAATTTGTGTTGCCAATTCTGTCTCTTTTCTCCTTTGGATATCTTCTATTCCTCATCTTTCACACGACTGCCCTTCTTTTTGAAAATTTTGCTTAAAATGTTCCATAGGAAAAAAAAATTAAGTTAGTCTGTGTGCTGTAGACAAATGGCAGCTTCTCTCCACACTTCAGGTAGGACTGTAACATTTCTCTCATTGCTGTGCCATGTTCCCTCACTTCTTGCTATTTTCTGTCCTTAGTTCAGTTACATAATGGAAAGCGCTCTCTAAAACCACTAAAATTTTCTTCCTTATCACATTGAGTGATCTCTCTTTACTCTTTCTGTTCCGAGAGCATTTATTTTGACAGTTGGCATTGAACATCACTTTGTAATTCTTAATAATTTGTCTTTTCATATTCAAAACACTCAACTTACTATTTTCCTTTTTGTTTTTATTTGATCACTCTGCTCAGCACCCATTTCTTGTATTTCCTTGATCTCTTTTGGACATTCATGGCTTTGGATTTCAACAGAAAATGAATTTGTTGAATAGAAATTGACTATAACATAGAAATGCTAGGGGAGTTGGGTAAATCATCTAGCAACAATGGTGGGAACAAGGGACAGCTTTGTGGCTTAACAGGTTAAGCCTCCTCCTTCAATCCCTGCATCTTATATGGCTGCTTGTTTGAGTTCCGGCTGCTGCACTTCAGATCCAGCTCCTTGTTAATCCACCTGGAAAGGCAGCAGAAGATGGCCAGGTCCTTGCGGCCTCTGCAGCGTCATGGGAGACCCAGATGAAGATCCTGGTTCCTGGATTCGGATCAGCCCAGGCCTGGCCATTGTGGCTATTTGGGGATTAAAGCAGCTGATGGAAGATTCTCTCTCTGTAACTCTGCCTTTCAAATAAATAAATTAAATCTTTAAAAAAATTGCTGATAAAAGAAAGAAGCAAGAAAGCCAGTCAACATGCAGTGCTATGTCCCAACAGTAGCTCAACAAACGCTTTATTGCTGTTGAATCCAGGTGACACAACTCACACTGGCAATACCTTGTTGCATATGCAGGAAATGTGCTGCAATCTTAATATGTTTCTCTTGGTAACCTTGGCAACTAAAAAGATTTTTTGTCCATTAATGTTTACCTACAACTCTTTTTATCCCAAAATAGGTTGGGTGGGTTTGATTGGATAAATCTAGTTCAAATCCTCTTTCTGCTTCCAAAATTCATATTATAGAAAGTGGACCAGATATTGGTCACCTAATACTTTTTAAAAATATTTGTTTACTTTTATTTGAAAGGCAGAGTAATAGACAGAGAGAAGGAGAGCCAGGGAGGGAGATCTTCTATCCGCTGATTCACTCACCAAAGGGCCACAATAGCTGGAAATGGGCCAATGCAAAGCCAGGAGCCAGGAGCCTCCTCTGGTTCTCCCATGTGGGTGCAAAGGCCCAAGCACTTGGGCCATCTTTTGTTGCTTTTTCAGGCCATTAGCAGGGTGCTGCATTGGAAGTGGAGCAGCTGGGACTCAAACTAGCACACATATGGGATGCTACCACAAGTGGCTGCTTAACCTACTATGCCATAGTGCTGGCCCCACCTAATAACCTTAACCTTTTGTAACTTCCTCAGGTTTTTACCTTAACTTGTTCTTATCTTTGTGTACTCACCAAGTGATAGGTCATCAAAGACTACTCCCTCAATTATCCCAATGACTCCCAAGCCCTTGTTGCTATTATTCTAGTAGTATTATAGTACCAAGTGTTGGAATATTAAAGATGCTCATGAATAAGGTTGAAGTCAGCGAACTCAAGAGGCTTCCATAGACTTGGAAACTCATGACTAGAGCCTAGGGAGATTACTGACACCATAAACAAGAGTGTCAAATTGTTAAGTCAACAACAGGAGTCACTGTGTACTTACTCCTCACGTGGGATCTCTGTCCTTAATGTGTTGTCCAATGTGAATCAATGCTATAACTAGTACTGAAACAGTATTTTACACTTTATGTTCTATGTGGGTGCAAACTGATGAAATCTTTACTTAATATATTCTAAGCCGATCTTCTGTATATAAAGATAATTGAAAATGAATCTTGATGTGAATGGAATGGGAGAGGGAGCGGGAGATGGGAGGGGTGTGGGTGGGAGGAAAAAGCCATTGTAATCCATAAACTGTACTTTTGAAAATTATATTTACTAAATAAAAGTTAAAAAAAGATGCTCATGCTACAAACTTGTCAATGGATCTGAGTTCTTGATTTCAATCTTGTATGACTATCTACCTAATAAGCAAGTGGCTGCTCTCATCTTTACTGCTATGTCACATCGAACATGACTGAGTCCTAGTGACTACATTCTGCAGAATCTATTTTTTCATCCTCCTCATCACTCCTAGCATCGTGTTATACATAGACGAGGCACTTTACATGTATTTCAATCACCTGGAGAAAATTTTAAAAAGGTTTTTGTAGTTGAAATAATTGAATTTACTTGAAGTTTTTGATTCCTCCAAAACAATTTCCAGTAACACTAAATAAAATTAAAAATATACTGTGATAAGATTATGATTTTCTGTCAAGCCCTTCTCCAGTATAAATGCTATAAATACTAGTAAACACTTTTTTCATTTTCATTTTATTTCAGGAGATAACCAGTGAGGACATGGACAAGAAAAATGCAACTTTGCTGACAGAATTTATTCTTACAGGACTTACCTATCAACCTCAGTGGAAAATCCCCCTGTTCCTGGGGTTCTTGCTGATCTATCTCCTGACTATTTTTGGGAACCTGGGACTTATTGCTCTCATCTGGAGTGACTCTCACCTTCATATCCCTATGTATTTGTTCCTTGGGAGTTTAGCCTTTGTTGATGCTTGGATTTCATTTACAGTGACTCCAAAGATGCTGGTCAACTTGTTAGCCAAGAGTAAGATGATATCTCTCTCTGAATGTATGATACAATTTCTTTCCTTTGCATTTGGTGGAACTACAGAATGTTTCCTCTTGGCAACAATGGCATATGATCGCTTTGTAGCCATATGCAAACCATTGCTTTATCCAATGATTATGACAAATAGACTATGCATTCGGCTAATAGCCTTGTCATTTGTAAGTGGTTTTGTTCATGCTTTAATTCATGAAGGGTTTTTATTCCGATTGACCTTCTGTCATTCCAACATATTACATCACTTTTACTGTGACATTATTCCTTTATTTAAGATTTCCTGTACTGATCCTTCCATTAATTTTCTAATGGTTTTCATTTTGTCTGGTTCAATTCAGGTGTTCACCATTGTGACTGTTCTTGTCTCTTATACATTTATTCTCTCTACAGTCCTAAAAAAGAAGTCTGAAAAGAGCATGAGGAAGGCCTTCTACACCTGTGGAGCCCACCTCTTGTCTGTCTCTTTGTACTTTGGCCCTCTTCTCTTCATGTATGTGTGTCCTGCATCTCAACAAGCAGATGATCAAGATATGATGGACTCTTTATTTTATACAATCATAATTCCTGTGTTAAATCCAATTATCTACAGTCTGAGAAATAAGAAAGTCATAGCCTCACTGTCACAAATATTACATAGATACATACACTAGTATCTCTTTTTAGTATTGTCACAGGACTTTCATTATTAGACGTGGCTTCGGGTAAGAATTCAAAGTTTTTATAATTACAACTACCCTCAAAGTTTAATAGCTTAGTTATTATAATAAATGTACTATTTAAAATATTGGTATTTTTAATTTGAAAAAAACAAGGAATGTTAATCAAGTGTTTAGGTAGTCCTAGAATAATTATATAGGAAAACATTTATTATTTTATATGGTCCCTAGTATGGCTTTACTAATACAGTAATGCTAAAATTGCATATTTCTTATAAAAAACATGATTAGAATACAGAAAACAGCTTACAGGGTTGGAGGGGATGGAGCCTCATATCACACTTAGTCCATTTTGGTGGCATTCGTGTGTGGTTGAGCAAATGGAGACCCTGAGAAATCTACTAGCCCTTTAAATATTTTTTATCCTGACTTGTTGGAAATTTTTTATTCTCTTATAGGAATTCTACTCCCAAACCATTTAGAGAAATAAACAGACATGTAAATGCAATCTTAGAAAAAATGAGACAGTGAAAGCAGGGCCAAATTGTTAAGAGGACACCCTTAGCTCAGTATATGAGTAATGAGAAGAGGTAAGTTTCCATTTTTGTTTATGATGCCTTCAAAGGCTTTTCCTTCTGCATTTGTATGATATCAGGGAATGTGGGAACTACACTCACTTAAACAAAACCTAACAGATAAGATTGAAGAATTAAATTAGTGTGGGGGCCAGCTCTGTGGCACAGTAGGTTAATCCTCTACCTGTGGCGCTGCCCCTCTTCAATCCCAGCTATCTGCTGTGGCCTGGGAAAGCAGTAGATGATGGTCCAAGTACTTTTGCCCCTGCACCTGTGTGCGAGACCGGCTCTTGCCTTTGGATGGGCACAGCTCTGGCCATTGGAGCCATCTGGGAAGTGAACCAACGGAAGGAAGACCTTTCTCTCTGTCTTTCCCTCTCACTGTTGTAACTCTACCTCGCAAATAAAATAAATACAATCTTAAAATAAATAAATAATTAAATAAATTAGTGTGAATATACAGAAGCAAACAAAAATAGCAAAATAGGAGGGAAATGGTCTGCTTTCCTAGAATTTAAGAAACATTAAGCTATTAAAAGAACTATTAATATTTCAATATGTATTGGAATGTCTTGCTAAGAATAAGCGACCTTAAATGCATATTACCAAATATCAAATAGTGTTAAGATATAATATCATAATAGCCAGTAAGTGGCTGGGAAAGATATGAAAATGGAAAACAATAAAGAGTTTGGATGTTTAGTGTCACAAGTTCCTTAAATGTTAACTTTCCTCACACTTCAAACTCTGTATATAATGGAGAATTTTCATTCATTTCCACCGCTGCCCTTCCTCTGAGCCCTGAAACACCATACACTTTTCTACTAATATGTGAGGACCTCAGTCACTCATCTGTGTATTTTGCAAAACTCTATAGTTACTTGTATCCTTCATCTTGTTTGTACATTCTTCCTAAATATTGCTGACTGGTGATTCTCCAGAAACAAACCTTGGGTTCAATTACATCCTTCAGTAACTTTTAATGGACTATCATTTCTACTAGATGGTATCTAGATGTGAATATGTGTTTGGATATGTATGTTTGTTCATGTGAATGCATAGATTATATGATTTACATGATATCTTCAACTTGTGTTTGCTCATCCACAATTTAAAAAACCAAAACATTGATTAACTCTGGAGTCTCTTCACCTACATTTCTCTGAACAGAACCTGTGTTGTAGCTAAAATGAATTTCTGAAAACCTTCTAGGTACACTCAAGTACATGCTTTGGCTCATAGAGTTCTTGCCACAGAGAAGCCCCTGCTACTCCAACTTCTCCCTGATTCATGTACAACTGAAATAGTGTTCCTTTTCAAGGTCTATCTCAAGTGCTCTGCCCTCCATGAAGCTTTGCCATATTAGCTGGAAGAGGAGAGGAATGTTCACTTATTGGAAATAATTAGCAATTTATTGGTGCTTCTTAATTTATACTTACCTTGTATAGAACTTAGTCTAAAAGATCTTTTAAATTATGACTTAAGGGGCAGGTATTTGGTACTGTTGTTAAGATGCCCACATTCCTTATTGGAATGCCCAGGTTATTCCAGTTTCCTGCTAATACACACCCTAGGAGACAGAAGAAGATAGTTCAAGTGCCTGGGTTCCTGCCGCCCACATGGTTCACTGGGATTAAATTCTGGAATCCTACTTTTGGCCTGGTCCAGATCCAGCCATTTTGGTATTTGGGGAGTGAACTAACAGATGGAAACTCAATCTTTCTCTCTTTCATAAAATAAAATAATATAAAATTTTACAGTTCTATTATTTATTTATCTTGCAATGGGCAACCTGGTGGTTCATACACGTAAGGCCTTAAATAAATATTTGTGAAGTATTTCTGAAATTAAATAGACTCTGCCAGTGCTGTGGCGCAGTGGGTTAAAGCCCTGGCCTGAAGTGCTAGCATCCCATATGGGAGCTGGTTCTAGTCCCAGCTGCTCCTCTTCCAATCCATATCTCTGCTACGGCCTGGGAAAGTAGTAGAAGACGGCCCAAGTCCTTGGGCCCCTGCACCCACATGGGAGACCCGGAAGAAGCTCCTGACTTCGGATTGGTGCAGCTCCGGCCGTTGCGGCCATCTAGGGAGTGAACCGTTGGATGGAAGACCTCTCTCTCTGTCTCTACCTCTCTCTGTAACTCTGTCTTTCAAATAAATAAAATAAAGCTTTTTAAAAAAAGAAGTTAAATAGACTCTGTCAGCACAAATATATAGAAAGCAGTAAGAGTGTATTATTCCTCTTTTTCAATCTGGAAATAAACTAAAGATTAATGGATCTGGAAAGGCTACTGCACATCAGCTCACCTTAAGTTTCGTTGATAACTGGAAAGTATCATAACCTAAGGTGCATTATTATTGCTCTTCTTTAAACTAGGATTAACTCTTTGTAAGGACTGTGAAAAAATTAGAAGAAATTATTTAATCTTTATAAAGGGTATAAAATATTTGTGTTTCTAGCAAATATCATTATTCTGTGTTTGCAGAGGCCCATTCAAAAACCAGACCAAATTTCTGCACTCCTGTTATCTGAAGGATATACTTTAAGTCCCAGGAAAGAGACTGTTTCAAAATTCAGCTGCTTTCACTATTCCTTCCCCGAGAATACATAGTACTAGATGTGTCCACAGTCCATTAGTTTCAACTGCTATGTAATATTCTCATTGTTCTAATGGTTTCTTGTCAATTATCTAGATTTTTGCTTTGTTTGTTCACTGTTCGCATCTAAACACTAGACCAGTAATATTTATGTAAACAATGGGCATCTGTTTCTTTTGATAATGTAAAGGTCTGCTTCCCCAGTTGTTATTTCCCTTGTAAGAGAAGACATATTAAACCATGGTCCTATAGAAAGGTGAGTATAACTGGTAACGTCTTACTTCAAGATGGGTGAGGTTAAAGAAAGTAAGCGGGAGTGTCAGAAATCATGACTTCTCCAGCCCTCTCCTTTGCAAATCTAGTCTACAGATTACTCTGGTTTGGTTTATCCTTCAATCAAGCTTCCACTACCTTACATCTTCCAGAAGTTCACTAAAATCTCCAGTCCATTGAGATGATCCCATTGTCATTTTTATTATATATATATATATATATATATATATAATCCTTTGTGCAATCATTTTGCCATTTATTCAGACATTGTGAAAGTGGTTAAATATGCATCTGTGAAATCCCATATTCTACTGATCCTTTTAAAGAACTATGAAAATATATATGTATTATTTATTAGATATTTACTTGAAAGGGATTATATCACATACACAGGTCATCTGGTTGTCAGAACTATGGTTCATGTTGGATTAAAGCCACCCCCCACAGAAATACTTAAAATAACAGTAAAAAACTCTTTATCATGAAGGTGTATCCATAACTTTACTTGTACATTTAAAAGAATGTGTAGTTCCTCTCTCTTTATATACATGTATATACATTATTTTTTACATCACACAATGCTTCCTGCTTTGCATGGGATTACTGGCAAAATTACCCTATGTTGTGCTCAAAGAAACAAAATAATGAGGATTTAAGTAAAAATACAAATGATATGGAAAACCAGAAACATTTTTATCAAATTTCAAGTTGTGGGGAATAGCTATAGCAGAATATGTATATTAGATAAATACGACAATGTCTCTGATCTAGGCTTTTGTTTGGTTCTTTTAAATAGTATGTTTCAGACTTTAATGGAAGCCATAATTGCCTGGAAACTGTGAAAACACAGATCAGTCTGCTCCATCCTTTCAGTGATACTGATTTGAGAGTACACTTATCGAAATACTTTTTAAAAATAATCAGTGAAACAAATTTAAAAAATTTATATAAGGTGAACAAATTTTGTGTACTTTATATATGTACAGATTTAAGAGCATAATGAAACTTCTGACCCTACCCTCCTTCCTGACCACATTCCCACCTTCCCCTTTTTCCTTTCTCCTTTTTCCTTTTAATTTTTAGAGTGACATTTTCAGTTTACTTTATAATCACAATCTTAATCCTCTGCTAAATAAAGAATGTTACAAATAGTAAGTTAAAACAACACTGTTCCTCAAGAGTATTGGCATGGGCTATAAACAGTAATCAAATCTCAAAATGTTAATTTTGCTCACACACATTATATTTTTTGTATCCTGTATATTATATCAAGTTACAGAATCAAGTCCAAGTGATGTGTTGTTATAGCCCATTGCTGTAATAATACAATGTGTTCATCGTCTGGGGAGGAACTTTGTAAGTGATAAATCTCAGGGAATTGTGTTCCAGCTGCTTCTTGACACCCCCTTCTTTCCCTCTAGGTAGTTTGCACAGCCACCTAGACCTGCTGCAGAGACTTCTCTTATCTTGATCTTCACTCAGAACTAACATCTTTCTGGATCACTTGTTAAATGGACAAGAGTTATGCCCCCTTATGAGGAAAATATTATTTATGCAATGCAAACAGCTAACTTACTTTGTACCTCTTTCTAGTCTGCAGGAGGGACTACATAGGATAACTTATCCATAACTTTAAAATGGATAATTCAACACACACCACATCATTGAGTCCTTAGAAATGCACTAAGCTAGAAAGCCCATACATTTTTGTTAAACTTATTTTCAACTCTCTGCCTTGGCAAGCTGTGTATTGCATCTTTGTGTAATGAGGAGAGGGGAGCAATGTGCCCTTGCTTTGTGGAACTAAGTGGGTAACCCGCCACCTCCAGTTCTCCAGGATGGACTCAAAGTCAGAGGGGTCCATGGATTTGTCCCTCTGACAAAACCCACCAGTGACACATGGGCTTCAGGGTCTCCATGCAACTTACTAAGATGGCTCTTTCTCCCTACCAGTCGCCAGGCACCTTCATGGGGTAGGGGAGGAAAGGCATGTGGTCTTCCTTCACAGGGTCATGGACACTCAGGCCCCTGACAGTACTTCAGGCCGGACTCAGGTCAGTGGGGCCCGTGAGGTTCTCGTTCAGACAGTGTTAGAGAGCAGCACCTATGGTGTGCAGGCTGCTATCCCTTGGGAACAAAGTTCCTCCTCTGTTCTT